TGTTTTGTCCAGGATTGTCTGAAATGAGTCGAAATTAAATTCTTTTATATTTCGCTCTTTAAACATGTCCTTGCCATGTATTTCGTTTATGCGCATTGCTTACGACCTACTTATCATCTATATGTTATACATTCAGTCTATACCGCATAAACGAATGCGTGTGATATCCAGTAGAACACCAAGGGACAATAAATTCAATATAGTTACGTTTCTGGTATTTACTGCATATACTTAGAATATTAAGTGACAACTATATAAATGTGAATTATGCATTTTGAAACGAGTTTTCCAGGTGTGGTAAATCAATGCTCAATTTTTCAGTGTCACAATTAACGGTGTACCACATCCAATGCACTAAGAATGTGATAATATTCCCAGTTATAGGGGTAATACAAACCAATGAAATGGACTTGAAAGAACGTGTGTTGCTTAGTATTCCAACCTACTTCAGGCAATATTTAGCGCGATAATTTTAAAATATTCCACGGTGTACCATTTTAACCCTACAAAAGGTTATATATATATATATATATATATATATATATATATATATATATATATATATATATATATATATATACGACAAGAACGCCATTCAACCTAATACGCATGATCTCTGCATGTCACAGATTTAAATCAGCGCAAAGGCCTATAGGCAATTGTGCCCCAAGCTCACTACCAGCAACTGCGGACAGCCGTTTCGCCCTTTTGGGGCTCGTCAGCGCAGTGTAGCTGATAGTGAGCTTTTCATCCGAAAAGTATTTATATAACCAACAATGAGGTGATGGATGTGGGACACATAAATTATATATACGACAAGAACGCCATTCAACCTAATACGCATGATCTCTGCATGTCACAGATTTAAATCAGCGCAAAGGCCTATAGGCAATTGTGCCCCAAGCTCACTACCAGCAACTGCGGACAGCTGTTTCGCCCTTTTGGGGCTCGTCAGCGCAGTGTAGCTGATAGTGAGCTTTTCATCCGAAAAGTATTTATACAACCAACAATGAGATGATGTATATATATATATATATATATATATATATATATATATATATATATATATATATATATATATATATATATATATATATATATATATTCTTATATGTTCACGCTGTACCGTGGTACACTGTCAATGCGCATGCGCTATTATACGTGCGCTATTATACAATAACAAATCGGATTAGTCATTTAGCGCGGCGGTCAGCCAATATATTTCCAGTCAACAGCTAAGCGTTTGTCTGTCTAACAACACAAATAAATATGGATTAACGTATTTTAGAATTTTCTTAGTGCAAAATAGTTGGTATATACACTACTATAAGTACAGTACATTGATTTGCTCTCCAACGTATATTAAATGGGTGAAAGTCGTCGCATATCATTCTTATATAATCGCATTCTACACAAGCTATAATCGTAGTATAGCGTTGCATGCATGTTGGTATTGTATTACCTGGTCGACCATGTGGTATTTGCTTCTTGAAGCTTAATACATTTTAGTGAGTCATATTTACTACGGAAAGAAAATGTCCTGCATAATGATATAAAACTTAATTTTTAATGCGCAATGCCTTGGTCATTGAATTTGAAAGATACAGACAATCCTGTACAAAACCATCTGCGGCACTCTTTTAAAACATTTTTTGTGGCTTTTTTTACCAGTTAGACCGGAAT